TGATTGGTTGCCTCCCTCATAGCCCACACTGAGATCTACCCCTAATCAGGGCATATACCCGAACCAAAAATTAAATCATGACCACTTGTTTCATAGGTCAATGCTTAACCACTGAGCAACATCAACTGGAGCTTTAGTCTTTCTTTCCTTCTTTTTTTAATATCTCAAGAAAAGCTATTTTAAATATAAATAACATGCAATAAGCACCAATTATTAAAGAAAAAAATGATTTTAAATATAATATTGCATGCAATAAATATTAATATTTCAGGAAAAAATGATTTTAAGGACACAATATTACCAAAACTGTAGTAACATAGTATGATATCACAAAAGTTGTATGAAATATTAAAAATCTGCAAATAACAGGATTACTTCTATTCTAAATTATTTTTCTTCTGGCTCTGTTTTTGTTCATCAAATTATTTTGTTCATTATATTCTGCAAATGAATGAGAACATGTGATATTAATCTTTCTCCAACTGGTTTATTTCACTTAGCATAATGCTTTCCAGGTCTATCCATGCTGTTGAAAATGGTAAGAGTTCCTTTTTTTTACAGCAGCATACTATTCCCTTGTGTAGATGTACCGTTTTTTAATCCACTCATGTGCTGATGGGCACTTAGGCTGTTTCCAAATCTTAGCTATTGTAAATTGTGCTGCTATCAACATAGGGGTGCATATATCCTTTCTGGTTGGTGTTTCTGGTTTCTTGGGATATATTCCCAGAAGTGGGATTACTGAGTCTTATGGGATTTCCATTTTTAATTTTTTGAGGAAACTCCATATTGTTCTCCACAGTGGCTGCACCCAGTCTGCATTCCCACCAGTGCAAGAAGGTTCTTTTTTCTCTGCATCCTCTCTAGCACTTGTCGATTGTTGATTTGTTGATGATAGCCATTCTGACAGGTGTGAGATGGTATCTCATTGCTGTTTTGATTTGTATCTCTCAAATGATTAGTAATTGAGCATGTTTTCATATGTCTCTTGGCCTTCTGTATGACCTCTTTCAAAAAGTATCTATTGAAGTCCTTTGACCATTTTTTTATTGTGTTGTTTATCTTCCTTTGTTAAGTTGTATGAATACCCTTGTAAATATTGGAGATTAAACCCTTAAAGGTGATAACATTGGCAACTGTGATCTCCCATGCAGTGGGCTTTCTAGTTGTTTTGTTGATGGTTTCTTTTGCTGTGCAGAAGCTTTTTATTTTGATGTAGTCCCATTTGTTTATTTGCCCTTTAGTGTCCATTGTTCTATGAGCTTTATTGGTAAAGATATTGCCTCAAAATATGTTTGATATTTTGCTGCCTGTTGCTTCTTCTAAGATTTTTATGGCTTCCGATCTTACGTTTACCGTATTTTTCGGACCATAAGACACACCGGACCATAAGACGCACCAGTTTTTAGAGAAGGGAAATGAAGAAAAAAAGATTCTGAAACAAATAGTGTCCTAAAATATTTTATGTGCATTAAAACCCAACATCACAGTCATAAACACATGTAATCAACCCTGTAAAGTAAACAGCAGCATTTAGAACCATTTTAGAGCCGGGCAAGCACACAGAAACCACACAGAGCCGGGCAAGTAAAAAAACTTTTTTTTTAAAGTATATGTGTAGGCTATATTTGGACCATAAGACGCAGGGACTTTTTCCCCCCACTTTTGGGGGGAAAAAAGTGCATCTTATGGTCCGAAAAATACGGTAAGTTCTTTATCCATTTTTCAGTTTAGTTTTGTGACCTGGTTTCACTTTTTTGCATGTATCTGTCCCATTTTCCCAACACCATTTATTGAAGAGACTATCTTAACTCCATTGTATGCTCTTGCCTCCTTTGTCAAATACTTATTGATCATAATGGCTTGGATCGATTTATTGGTTCTCTATTCTCTTCCATTGGTCTGTATGTCTGTCTGGTGCCAATACCTGGCAGTTTTGAGAACAATAGATTTGTAATATAGCTTGATATCTGGTATTGTGATCCCTCCAACTTTGTTCTTCTGTCTTAGGATTGATATTGCTTTTCGGGATATTTATTTATTTATTTATTTATTTATTTATTTATTATTTAATTCCAGGAGAGTTTGTTCTAGTTCTGAGAAATATTCCACTGATATCTTAGTGGGGATGTATTGACTCTATAGATTGCTTTCGGTTATATAGACATCTTAATTATATTGATTCTATCAATCCATAAACAAGGGTTTATTCCGCCATGTGCTTATGTCTTCCTCTATCTCTTTTTTCACCATCCTGTAGTTTTCCGACTATAGTTCTTTTACCTCCATGGTTAAGTTTATTCCCAGGTATTTTAATTTTTTTGGTTCAATGGTAAATGGGATTTTTTTAAAGTTTATCTTTCTGTAAGTTCATTATTGGTATATAAAAAAACCCATAGATTTCTGGGTATTGATTTTGTATCCTGCTACGTTGCTGAATTCATCTATTAAGTCTAGTAGCTTTTTGATGGAGTCTTTGGGGGTTTCTATGTACAATATCATGTCATGTGGGAATAATGACAATTTTATTTCTTCTTTTCCAATTTGGATGCCTTTTATTTCTTCTTGTTCTCTGATTGCTATGGCTAGCACTCCCACTTCTATGTTGAACAGGAGTGTTGAGAATGGACATCTGCATTGTTCCTGTTCTTAAGGAAAATAGTTTTATTTTTTTTCCCCATTGAATATAATGTTGGCTGTAGGTTTGTCATATATGGCCTTGCACCCTCTGATGCCACTTTGCTGATAGCTTTTATCAAAAATGGGTGTTGGATTTTGTTGAATGCTTTTTCTAAGTCTATTGATATGATCATGTGATTTTTGCCTTTCAGGTTTTTTTATGAGTATGTTATGTATCACATTTATTGGTTTGCAAATATTGTACCAGCCTTGTATTCCTGGGAGAAATTCCACTTGATCATGGTGTATTATCTTTTTCAATATATTGCTGGATATGATTTGATAATATATTGTTGAGGATTTTGGCATCTTTTGTTCATGAGGGATATTGGCCTGTAATTCTCTTTCTTTGTACTGTCTTTATCTGGTTTTGGAATTAGGATAATATTGGCCTCAAAAAAGAGTTTGGAAGTGTTCCTTCCTCTTTGTTTTTGAAATACTTCGATGAGCATAAGTGTTAGTTCTTTGAATGTTTGGAAGAACTCCCCTTTGAAACTGTACAGACCTGGGCTTTTGTTTGGTGGGAAGTCTTTTGTTTTTGTTTTTAATTACTGCTTCTATTTTGTTAGTTGTTATTGACCTATTCAGTTTTTTTTTTATTCTTCCTGATTCAGTGTTGGGAGATTGTATTTTTCTAGGAATTTTTGTATTTCATCCACATTGTCCAGCTTTTTGGCATGTAGTTGTTCATAGTATTTTCTTACAATCCTTTGTATTTCTGTGGTGTCCATGGTTGCTTCTCCAATGTTTCTGATTTTATTTATTTGGTTTCTCTTTTTTTTTGTTTCTTGATTAATCTGCTCATCAATTTTGTTTATCCTTTCAAAGAATCAGCTCTTGTTTCATTGATTTTTTTTTTGTCTTTGTTATTTATTTCTGCTCTAATCTTTATTATTTCCCCCTTGCTAATGACTGGGCTTTTCTTGTTCTCTCTCTAAGTTGTAGGGTTACATAGTTTGTTGCTGTGTTTTTTTGTTTTGTTTTTGAGCTATGCCTGTGGTGCTTTTAATCTCTTAAGTAGTCTCAGGGCAAAGTGTTTTCCAATAGGATGTGGAAAAGATGTCCTCCCCTGTGTGAGGCAAAGACTCAGTCCAGGAAACTTGGAGTGTCTGTCTGATGAGCTCTATTCTCAGAGTCCCCAGTCCTGGGTTCTGCTCTCACAGCTCCAGTCCACTTTACACTCCCTCTGCCAGAGCACAAGATGGGTGGCTCCACAGGGAATTTTTGTGTGTTGGCCCTTCAAGAGGGTGCCTGACTTTCAGCTGCCACTCCCTGAAAGACAGCATTCCGCAGCTTTTCAAAGCTGCATGTTATGTGGGTACCCTAATCAGATTTGGTGCTCTGCTAGGGAGCTCAGCTTGGTGATTAGATTCCAGAGTTCTCAGTCGTACCCTTCCACATATGAGATATCTCTCCAGAACTTCACTTGTTGTCTGTGGGCACCTGGCCAGCCCTTTTGTAACTCTGCCCCTCCTACCCGTCTCTATGTGGTCTCCATATTCGTACTTCAGATATCAGGGTTCTCTCCTGTGATTTCCTTTTTTCTCTTATGTACTGTCTTTATCTCATGTTTATATATTTTCCCCATAAAACATCATCAAAAATATTTTTGCATCAAAAATAATTAAAAATTATGAAAATCCTATATTTAGCTAAATAAGATTGACTTAGAATAACTTATATCAATATCTTCTTCGTTGAAGAGAACTTTATACCAAATAGCTTAATAAAATCTTAGGAAATAATTCAATACATTCTAAGCGAAAGAGTAAGACATATACATAATATGCCTAGACCTAAATGTACAGTGACCACCAGGGGCATCTCCTGCATTGAGCGTCTGACCCCTGGTGATCAGTGCATGTCATAGCAGTCATAGCAACTGGTCATTCTGCTGTTCAGTCATTTTGCATATTAGCCTTTTATTATATAGGATGGTTCTTGTGTGTGTGTGTGGGGGGGGGGCAGTAACTTTTAAAGAATCATTTCTTGCCTTACAGAAGTTCATGTTGAAAATATAATTAGATGCCTAAAGCTTTCTGTTCTTTGTGGATTTTTAAATCTACTTAATAAGGCACAATTTAAATTAAGGTGTACATCATGACTATACAGTACTCACATTAACAAAAGCTATCTGACATTATTATTTTTGAGCATCAATGACATTAGTCTGAAATTAATATAACACTGTTTATACCATAAATTTTCATATACTGCATGAAATAAAATGTATTTTACAACATATTTTGATGAATGTTTCTGTATGCAGTTCTTAGAGGAGACATAGCTTTTCTTATTTCAATTTTGTTCTCATTTTACAGGATTCAAGCCAAAACTCGAGAATTTAGAGAACGACAAGCTCGGGAACGTGACTATGCTGAAATTCAAGATTTTCATCGGACGTTTGGCTGTGATGATGAGTTGATGTATGGGGGAATTTCTTCTTATGAGGGTTCCCTGGCTCTCAATGCCAGACCCCAAAGCCCAAGAGAAGGACATATGATGGATGCTTTGTATGCCCAAGTAAAGAAGTCTCGGAATTCCAAATCTTCACCTGCAGACAGGTAGGCTGTCGTGGGTTGGTGGGGGCCACTCTAGCCCAGGATCAGAGTCACTGGCACTCAGCGTGGCCTCATGCACACACCTAGAATCAAGGACCCCACTTGCGCTATGCTGAAACAGAGACCCCGCTGTGTGTGCTGAAATTCAGAGTTCCCTAGCACATGCCAGGAGTCAGAGTACCCTTGTACCCGCACTAAAATTAAATATTAGAGTGTCTGTTACTTGGTGCAACCTCACACCGAGAATCCGGGTCCCTATGTGTGCATGCACCAAGAATTGGAGCCACTGGCTCTTAGTATGAATGCACTGGGAATCCGGGATCCTAGGCGCTTGTGATGAGAAACAGAGACAAGTCACTTGTGCTCAGTGCTGCCTCTCACATGGAGAATCAGGGTCCCCAGTCTGCTTGGGGGACCGGGCTGCACAGTAGCACTGTGTTGGCAGCAGGTTCACTCCTACGCTGCAGAAAACAGACTTCTGTGTGCACTTGCCCAGAATTGAAGTCAGGTGGCACAGCAGTTTGGTTCTAGTGGGTATGGCACTGCCCACAGCCTGCAAGGAGGGGGATGGGCTTTGTGCTCACAGAAATCTGTGGCCCGGATGTCTGGATTCTTGGTGTTGGTGGGTCTGCAGCTGTGGTCGCAGGTCTCTGTCCCCAGTGGCTGCAGGGTCCTGGTTTTCGTCTGAGACCAGACTGGGTGGTGCTGAGGCCAAGATTCTAGTCTCAAGCAGCTCTGTTTTTCCTATCCTACACCTTTTGATAGGAGCATTTAATCCATATACATTTAGGGTTATTATTGATAGGTACTTATTTATTAACATTTTAATTCTGTATGGCTAGGTTTCTCTCCCTGTTTCTTCTTCTAATTAGAGCAGTTCCTTTAGTATTTCTTGTAATACTGGCTTGGTGGTGATACACTCTTTAGCCTTTTTTTCTTTCTTTCTTTTTTTTTTTTTTTTCCTGGAAAGTTCTTCATTTGACCATCTATTTTGAATGATAGTCTTGCTGGATATAGTAATCTTGGTCTCAGATCCTTGCTTTCCATTACCTTGGGTAGTTCATGCCATTCCCTTCTGGCCTGTAGCGTTTCTGTTGAGAAATCAGGTGTCAGCCTTATGAGATCTCCTTTGTAGGTAACAGTTTGCTTTTCTCTTGCCACCTTTAAGTTTCTTTCTTTGTCTTTAATTTTGGGCATTTAAATTATGATGTGCCTGAGTGTGGGCCTGTTTGGGTTCATCTTTCCTCAGGGTTCTCTGTACCTCTTGAACTTGTGTGACTTTTTTCTTTACCATGTTCTCTCTTCCTTCCTCTCTGTCTCTTCTGGCCCACCTACTCTTCTAATATTATTACGTTGCACATTGTCCCACAGCAACCTTAAGCTGTCCTCGTGCTTTTTTTTTTTTTAATACATTTTATTGATTTTTTTTACAGAGAGGAAGAGAGAGGAATAGAGAATTAGAAACATCGATGAGAGAGAAACATCGACCAGCTGCCTCCTGCACGCCCCCTACTGGTGATGTGCCCGCAACCAATGTACATGCCCTTGACCAGAATCGAACCCGAAACCTTTCAGTCCGCTGGCCAATGCTCTATCCACTGAGCCAAACCTGTTTCGGCTGTCCTCATGCTTTTTAATTGCTTTTTTCTTTTTGGTTCTCTGATTGAGTGATATTTTCAACTTTTTCTTCTAATTCACTGAGTCTATGCTCAGCTTCCCCTAACCTGCTGTGTATTTCATCCAGTGTGTTCTTTGTGTAATGCCATTCTATATCTAAGAATGTTCTTTTTTATACTAACTATACCTTTTTTTCATGCTCTTGAGCATCTTTACTATCATTACTCTGAACTCTATTTCAGATAAATTTCTTATCTCTGTTTCTTTTATCTCTTCTTCTGGATTATTCTCTAGAACTTTAATTTGGGTGTTATTTCTTTGTCTCCTCTTTTTGGCTATCTGTGTGGGTTTGTGCCTATGTATTATATAAATTCTCTACACCTCTAAATCTCTAGTACAGGACAGTATTAAAGGCTGTTTCTGACTAATTAATTAAATCAGGCAAAGACTCAAAGACTCCAGAGACCTCTTCTGCCTGTGGACTGATAGAATTCTGATGTGAATTGCCCCCCGAGGCAATGATGCTCAGGTGTGGTGAGAGTTTGTTTGTTTTTTCAACAAGTTGGGGCAGTTGCTTCTGCCTGGAGGCTAATTGTTATTTTTAATCTCTTAAGTGTACCCATTGCAAGATGTTTTCTAATAGGGATATCAACTGTCTTTCCCTCAGGCAATGTAAATGTCTATGTGGGAAAGGTACCTTATGCAGTGACTCAGTCAAGGAAACTTAGGATGTCTGCCTTTTGAGCTCTATTCCCTGATTCTCCAGTCCTCACTTTTGCTCTCACAGCTCCAGTTTACTTTCCCCTCTTTCTGCTGGCTCCACTGGGAATTTTTTTTCCATTGGCCCTTTAAGAGGGTGCCTGAATTTCAGCTGTCACTCCCTGGCAGATAGCATCTTGCTGCTTTTCACAGCCAGAAGTTATGTGGGTACCCTTCTTAGTTTCCGTCCTCTCTGCTGGAGGCTCAGCTTAGACCCCAGTGTTCTCTGTGCAACCCCCAGAATTGAGATATTTCTCCAGGACTTCAGTTGGCATCTGTGGGTCCCCGGCCACCCATTTAGTGCCTACGCTCCTCCTATCTGTTTTTATGCAGTCTCCACTTTTGGTCCTTGGTATCAGGGCTGTCGCCTGTGAGTTTTCCATTGATTATTCAGGAAATTTTTCTGTATTTTAGTTGTAATTCCAGTTTGTTCCTGGAAGCATGTTTGTGCAGCATCCACGTACTCTGCCACCATTTTAAGTCCTCTGCCAGCTATATTTAATAGAGGTTTGCAACGATAACAGGTAACCCTCAGGCAAACCCAAGAGGAAACATATTAAAGAACAGCAAAGGCAAAGTAGATCTTAAGGTAAAACTCTGGTCAGATATGTGTTCTGTTGTTTCTTTTTTTTGTTCATTTTGTTTTAAGTTTTCTTTATTGTTTTGTGGAAATCTGATGTTGGCTGTAATGAGTGATTAATGTAGGTTAATATAGGAGGCTTATGGTTTATTTACACTCCTGTCCTGTGATCACCTAAAAGGTTCACAGTACTTATCAAATAATACAGATGTGTCAAGATTCAAAGACTAAGGTTGTTATTAGTGACAGTGACATTTTCTTAAAAAACTTCTTACTGGGCTTTTGCTGTTTGTAGATAGTCAGATAGCATCTGAAGGTCATGAATGTCCATTGAAAGTTGTTTTCTTGGGAGAAAGAACAGGAGAAACTCTGGCATTGCCAATTAGTAACTTTTGGAAAAACTATAAGAAAATTAGTTATTGTGTAATTGGTCATTGATAAAAGTATTAATCATTTTAGCACCATCCACATCTGGTTTGAAAGTCTAAATAATAGTGGATGTGTAGTTGTTCCCAAAGCTCCGAGGTCTTGTCTGACATGAGAGTTGGTAGTTAGGAGGCATTTTTCTGGCTCCTGATGGCAAGAAACTATTGCTTTAAACCCCAGTTTACACCCTAGTGCCTGAAGGTTTCTGCAAATTTTCAAAAGGGCTTATGTGCTCAGAACCCTGTCTCCTACTGGGCTCCAGCATCCCTACCTTCATTTCTACTTGCATGAATGCTGACCTCACCTTGAAACTCAGCCTTCTGACTAATTTCCATAAAAAACTCACTCAGCAAAACATTCCAGAGAAGACTTAAGTCATGGGAAAGTCATGGGAATGAGTCACAAAAGCAGTGAATAGCTCAAAATCTCATAATAGACATTGCTGCATTCAGAAGGCTACTTGCTGAGGACTGTACAGTCTATGCATTTGTCCCTGTTCCCCCTCCCCCCAAAGGGTATTTGGACTAGAGCATTTCTTTTATTTTTAAAAAACACACACATTTTATTTTTTCCATCACTATGCATCCCCCCTATACTCTTTCCACCTCTAACCACCCTGCCTCCCTTTTCTGCAGTCATATCCTAGAGGGTTTCTAAGACATTTCCAACTCAAGGGAGAGAAGTTTTTTAAAGACGGATCAGAGAAATGTACATTTGGGTTTTTTATTTTATTTTATTTGTTTGTTTGTTTATTATGCAGAGTAAGATGCCCATTAAATGGTGATATTGCTAATCCAAAAAGTTGGGACTTAGCACACCTGTGAAGTACTTCTTCACCAACTGGAAATTTAACATAAATTTGATGAAGAAATAATGGCATCACCTCTATTGTCTATTTCTGACAGAGAGAAAACTATAGAAAGCTGTTTTTTAGACTTGAGTATTGTAGAGACTCTTTTAAAAGAAAAGACAGTCTTTTGATACTGCCATATAGAATTCAATTGTTTTGATTAAAATGTTACTTAAATGTATAAAAATAAAATAGGACTAAACTCATTTTGCTTACAGCCATAATACAACTATAAAACCAAACATCTTTACAAATTAAATACAAACAAAACAGCAAAACCATGACATCCAAATGAATGACATTAATTTAATATGGTCAATAATTGGTGTTTTTTAATCTAAACTCTTGCACAAATCATGAATATGGTGGCTGCTGGGTGGCAGGTTCCTTTGAGATTATTTGCGTGAAATCTACAAGCCAGGGGCTGCCTCAGTTCACCCTCTGTTTTGCTTAGTCCATCTCTGCAGTTCTTTTGCAGGTCGGTATGCAGTAATCTTCGGCCTGGGTGTGCTTCATCAATGCATTATTTATGCAGCAAGTCCAGCTTGCTTCTATTTTCATTAATAGATGTGAAAGAGAATAGACAGTGAAAGTAACATTTTTTGGTGCCTTCATATTTGTAAACTCAAATGGAGACAGTGAAATAACATACCAATAAGATGATCTAGAATATGCTTCTGTTAACTCTTTAAAAAATAATTATTTAAATGGAAAATAAAACTGAAAGGTCCTCAGAGAATATATTATATCTTATATGAGGAATATACATGA